CATTTAATCTATAGCAATTATGTTTACTCGAGTTCTTGCTAGTCGAATAAGGCAACAGTAGTTAGGTAGATTTCATAAATTTCATAGTTTTTGTTTTCTTGTTCGTGTGATATTTTATTATTATTAGTATTATTATTTGTATCATTATTTGTTAATAAACGTGTTTTATATGTATTTAATAATTCAATATTTATTTGTGGAACTGTTTGATGTAAAACACAGTCAAGTTGTTGACCATATTGATTATACCATAATTCATATATATGACCAATTAATGATATAAGATTTGTATTAACACTTTCATTTTCATTATGTCTTTCAAGTGCTTTAAGTAAACATTGAAATAAAAGCTTAATATCAATTAATGAAGATATATTCACATGTTTATCAATAATATCCGTATAAAATTTTGTTATCGGAAGAATAATAGGTAAAAAACGATTAACACAATATGCGTCAGGAAATGTTAAACATTCAAATAAAATTCGAATTATATTGCTGAACAGATGTAAAGCCAATGAAGAATCTAAATAATATATTATATAGCTTGTGTTTCATACGAAATGACTCGTGTGAATTCTTAGTTCAAGAATCAAACAATCTCATGAATGGCATAGATTCAATTTTTTTAGAACAAAATAATCAACTTTTTAATGAGTTCATTTCAACTTTCTTCCTCAAGTGGACAGTTCGGTAGCAAACTTAAATTAACTTTTACCAATTAAACTTAGTTATACTCGTCAACGTATTTTAGCATATTGTTTTAATTTTTACGAAACTAGAAAACAAAATGCTGAATTGTTCTGAAAAATTTTTCTTTGAACATTGATCTTCTTAGAGCCTCATAGTACTACTTAGGTTATATTTCTGCTTAACGTTTTACAGCAGAACTTGGAATACATTCTGGTAAAAAATTGAACTATGAGTATTTTTTTAGACAAAAAGATTAAGACATGACGATGAATCTTACCAAGGATATTGAGAAAATACTGCAAGAAACATTTATTTTAGCGCACTCATAGACTTAGCAAATGTTTAAGTTTTTCTTTATCATTACTCTAGGTCCATTGATCAGCTTGTTCACATCTTAATAATCATGTAAAAAAACCTGTCTCATATTTTAACAACTCTTTATTCTCGTCTTCAAGATAATGAATATATTTATGTTGGGTTAACAAGTTTTTCTTTAGGATACACAAGAGACATGGCAAATTTAAGAAGCCAAAAGAGTTCCTATTGCTTTTTCAAACGTTTTTTTAGAAAAAGCAATAGCAGAGTTGAGCAAGCACGAGTACATACTCATCTCTATATATGTTGAAACTTTTAATAGGAAAAAAATCTGATAGTTTTACTTCTTAATGAATATATTTTCTTAATTAACAAACTTACTTTGTCGAGACATTTTCATCATATACATAAAAAGATCACTATAGTCAAGTTTTTCATTTGAATTAGTTAATAATTAATTATTAAGATAATTATTT